GATCCCGTTGGTACGAAATACTGCAAACATTTTATTTCTTGAAATAAAAAAAAGATTTTTAGCTCCAAACATTAGATAAGAATTTACCAAAATTTTAAACTCTAATTTAATTTTCAGAAAAACCAAAGGTCACCCTCCACGCCCGTGTACAGTCTGGTTTGAGCATCAAGAAGAACGAGGAGATCCGTATCGACGCCTTCATCTCTGGGTCCCCTTATCCTAAAGTCACCTGGATGAGGAATGACGAGGATGTCACCAAAGAGCCAACCAAAACGTTTGTTCCTGTGGTGAGGAAGAAGAAGACAAAGGCCAAGGTCAGAGTTGTCACAGAGACATCCAAAAGTCGTAACGTGTTTAAGATTTAAGAATTAAAAATTTGACTTTTGCCAATAAAGGTTCCAGAACCAGAGCAGGTGTTTGTGTCTCCACTGCGTGAGCGTCTGGGTCTGGATCAGACCAAGAAGGGTCAGTCTGCACTGATGATCCGCGATGCCGCCAGAGTTGACCACGGAAACTACACCATAAAGGTGGAGAACACTCACGGCGTCGCCACGGCAACCTGCATCGTCAACGTCCTCGGTACGACTGAAGTTTATTTGTTTATTTATTTAATATTTTCACAAAATACAGATGAGTCTCTTATTTTAAAATGTTTAATCTTGACCAGAAACAAGTGGCTCTTCCACTTTATATATTTTATATACATGTATGTATATTGTATGGTGATTTGTAAAAATCTAATTGAGATGAACTGAAATTAAATCCACAGAAAGTTCAGAATCTTGACTTTATTTATGTTGACCTGACACAGACAAACCCGGTGCTCCAATCAACTTCACCTTCGATGACATCAGAAACACGTCAGTCATCTGTAACTGGGAGGCACCTGAAGATGACGGCGGTAGCGAGATTCTGAACTATATCCTGGAGAAGAGGGACAACAAGAACGACGAGAGCGATTGGATCACCGTCACCTCCACGCTGAAGGGAACCAGCTACCCCATCACCAAACTCATCGAAGGAAAAGAGTACATCTTCAGAGTCACTGCTGAGAACAAGTATGGCTGCGGACCACCGTGCATCTCTGAGCCGCTGGTCGCCAAGAACCAGTTCAGTAAGTAAAAACATCCAAATCAGAAAGCTTACATCAGAGAAGAAACACATGAACATAAAACCACGTAAAAATGAATATGATGTTTTTTATTGTTTCCTAAAATCCAATAGCTTTTTGATAGTAACAGATTTTTTATAATTAACAAATTATTTGAAATCCCCCCTCACGTTGTGTCCTCCCCCTCAGATCCTCCCGATGCTCCCAACACACCACGAGTCCACGAGGTGACAGCGAGCTCCGCCCACATATCCTGGCACGAGCCGAAGGACAATGGCAGCCCGATCCTGGGCTACTGGATCGAGAGGAAGGAGGTGAACAGCAAACACTGGACCAGAGTGAACCACGCCCTCCTCAACTCTCTGGAGGTGAAGGTCAGGGGCCTGATGGAGGGACTCACCTACATCTTCAGAGTGTGTGCCGAGAACCTGGCCGGCCCTGGGCCCTTCAGTGAGCCCACGGAACGTATCCTCACCATGGACGCCATCCGTACGTTTTTATCATGCGACGTTTGAGGAATGGAGGAATATTTTTTTTATCATTTGTCGACGCTCAGTTAATGTCTCTTCTCCCCCTCAGTGCCTCCTGGTCCCCCCATGCCATGGATCGTAGACACCGGGAAGAATTCCGTCATTGTGGCATGGAAGCCGCCGCTGTACAACGGCGGAGGAGACATCCTGGGATACCATTTGGAAAAGGTGCAGAAACTTTACACAGACATGATTCTCAGATCACATTTGCTTGAAGTGTTGATCTCTTCTCTGTTGTCTGGAGAAACATAAATCTTCAGGGTTTGATGTCAACATCTGATCTGACTGTAACCTTTCTGGTCACAGGTTTTGGCGGGAGAGAAGGACTGGAGTCGCAGCACAGAGTTCAGGTGTAAAGAGCTGACGTACACAGTGACAGGCCTCACAGAGGGAGCAGATTATTATATCAGAGTCATCGCCGTCAACGACGCTGGCCCCGGAGCTCCCGGCGTTACCGAACCTGTCACCGTCATTGAGCCTCAAGGTGAGAATGGGAGATAATAATGAAATAGAGCCTGTCATTCAGGTGGAATCGATTTTAGCTTTTAAGAAAAGAAGAATGTTTAGGTTTTTTTATACCTGTAGCTGCCTGTGTCTTCCAGAACCCCCCGCTGTCGAATTGGAAGACTCTGTGAGGAATGGCGTCTTCATCAAGGCGGGCGAGTCTCTAAGGCTCCCGGCTGTGGTGACTGGCCGACCCCAGCCAGACGTCAAGTGGGCCAAGGACGAGGGCGAAATTGACAAAGAGAGGATGATTGTGGAGACTGAGGGCAAGAACAGCACTTTGTTCATCAAGAAGACCATCAGGGCGGATCACGGAAAGTACCAGATCTCTGGTACCAACAGCAGTGGAACCAAGACAGCTGAGACCAGAGTGGACGTCATGGGTCAGTGTCACAGAAACACACCTCAGCATTTATTCATGTTTTCATACCTGTGAAATACACTGAACCCTGATCATAGGACCTCCAAAGAGTCTGATGTTTATTTTAGTTACATACAAATCAACTGAAATGAATTAACCAGGTAACACTTCATCATATTAGAGGAACTTTAAATCTCTCCGTGTTTCTGTAGACGTACCTGGACCTGTGGTCGACTTGAAGACGGTAACTGTAACCAAAAAGAACATCACCCTCACCTGGTCCGACCCATTGGACAACGGTGGTAGCGACATTGTCGGCTATGAGGTGCTGAGGAAAGATGCCAAGATGAAACTTTTCCGCCAACCCATTGAGATGGCGTCCTGTAAGTGCGACGTCCAGGGCCTGCTGGCCGGTGAAGAATACGACTTTAGGGTCATCGCAAGGAACAAGTATGGTGATGGAGCTCCGGCCGACTTGGGACCGATCCTGGCTGAGGATGCTAAAGGTAAAGACTTTTTACAGACCATTGTATGACAGAACATCTGGTGACCTGCTGAGAGAACAGTTTGACCAAAGTTCCTAAAATTTTTGTAGGAACTCCGTCTGCCCCTGAGAAGCTGCACTACACTGACAGAAGTAAGAGTTCCATTAGTCTGGCCTGGGAGCCACCTCGCACTGACGGCGGCAGCCCCATCAGAGGGTACTATGTGGAGAAGATGAGGTCAGATGGAACAGAGTTTGAAGTGGCCAACCGCAAAATCTTCACAGAGTGCTGTGGAACCATTGAGAACCTGTCAGAGAACCAGGAATACCAGTTCCGTGTCAAAGCTGTGAATGACGTTGGGGACGGAGATCCATCCAAACCAATCACTGCGAAGATCCAGGATGATGAAAGTACAAAGCTCCCTCTTAAAATCTTCATGTTAAAATGTTAAAATTCGTTTTTTACAGAGAAACAGAAAATAAGAGTTTTGGCACAAAAGTTCAAATTGAACAAACACTTGTCATCCACAGTCGCTCCTGTGATTACGATCCTGAAGTTCTTCAAGAGCAACGCAATCATCGTGAAGAAAGGTTCCGCCATCGATATCCCAGCTGATGTGAAGGGACTTCCTCTACCAACCTTCCAATGGATGAAGGACGACGTGGTGATTGAGAAGCCTGAAGGCGAGAAGATGACAATGGAAACTGAGGAGGTGGATTTTAGTTTTAGTTCTGCAGTTTGTTTTATGACTCAAATCACTGAGAGACAATTTCACTGCAAACCCTTCAGACAATGACATGACATGAGCTCTGCTGAGTCACAGCTCCCCAGAGGATGATCCTTTTACCTTCACTGATCACCATTAATCAGCCATAGAACAAACTTTAGGGAAGATTCTGTTTGAGAAGCATATGACAAACAATATTTTTTAAATCTTCAGGTCAACAGAACAACTCTGACAACAAAGATTGCCATCCCAGAAACCATCAGGCAGGACAAGGGCAACTACAAGCTGGTAGCTGAAAATTGCTTCGGCAAAGCTCAGCAAGTCATCAGGGTCGAGATCCTCGGTAAGAGCGAAAAAGCACCAGTTCACATGAGGAACTTTCATCTGCAAGTTTGTGAGATTAAAATGTCTAAGAGTTGTTTTAATCATCACATTAACCCAAACCTGTGTTTTCAGATCGTCCTCTTCCTCCAAAGAACCTCATGGTCTCGGACATCAAGGCGGACTCATGCTACCTGACCTGGGAGGCCCCAGAGGACAACGGTGGCAGCGAGATCACAAATTACATTGTGGAGCGCAGAGACGCCAGCAAGAAGAAATCTGACTTTGATGTTCTCACCATTAACCTGATTGACAGGAGATATGGGGTGAGATTCTCTGCTCCCATCCACGACTTCACTCTTCAACAACAGTCTAACATGAATAAAAACTGTGAAAGAGAAACAGGGACAACATTGAACTGAACATTAAGCTTTCGTGTTTTCATTCTGAGATTTTACTTTTTCATATGAACAAGTTTGAATTAATAACAAATAAAGCCACTTGGGTATAAGTGAATATTATTTGTTATTAAACTCAACCTTTTGTCATCGTTTCAATTGAGAGACACCTAGTGGCCAAAGTTACATATTGCACATTTGATTACAAATGTGTTTGGGCATGATGCAGAACTATATGTCACAC